TCTGGACCACAAGGAAGAAGTCCTAGTTATTTCAAAGCTTTTTATTACATACTTCTCATGCTAGCCTCAGCTCAGACATCTTTCCATCCCACCACCCCAACATGTCGTAGGGCATGCAGACATGCATAACACCCACAAGCTGATGTTTGACTACAGAATATTATGTTTATATCAACATGTACTCCACAAATCTTAGGTTCCCTGCCCCAAAACGTAAACCTCTTACCTGCCCCAAATTTGTCTCCATCAATCTTGAACACCTGGATCTGAACATTAAATACGTTGACCAGGGCTTTGTCTGTGACCTGGAGATTCTCCTCTGCACTGCACTTGTAGGAGTTCCCTACTGTAGCTCTCAGCTCACTCATGCTGTTGTTTGATGCTTCAAATCTTGGAACTGTGTAAGAGAAAGTCTTATTACAGAAACCTGAAGAGCAGGAGCTGTAAGCTTGTAGAGTTTAAATTTGATACATTCATCCTCAACATTTCTAACATGTTCTTTAATGCACGCAACCCTTAATATATATAGAATTAGTTACTGAAAGCAGACTTCTTGAAAGTCCCTACCTTTTGCTTCAGAAGGCAGAGTTGTGCTCACATTCACGCCTTGCAGGAAGAATTTTTCAGTACTTGCATTCTTTAAGAAAAAACAAAACAAACCAGTAGTTGTCATTTAAGCTAATGATGTACAACATAAGCTGTTAACATTCAGGTTCAATTCTGCATGCATTTTGAGAAAGGTTTTCAAAAGATAGTCCACAATTTGGATTAGCATCCAGATGAGCTTAATTGCACTTGAGGAACTATTCCTTGGGGGAGGAAGGGAAGCAGAGCAAGTGGGATGGTCACCCCTCAGACTGCTGACTTGACTCCCACACCACTGGCATAGTCCTGCCCATGCCTTAACCAGGCTAGTGCAGTGATCTCACCTATGCTACAGATGCAGCTCTGAAGCAGGTCAGTACACCACAGAGATGCGGAGACTCATTTAATAGTAACAGGTCAAGGTGATCACAGTCGATCAATCCCACAAGTATTAAAAGGAGCATGAAGCTCTGACAAACAGGGTACATTCAATCCTCAAGGGTACGCAGCACTAACATAGCACTGGGGCAGGGCTGCGGGAAACTGGATTCCCAACCACCACAGGAGACCAGGCACACATGGCCCTTGGGCTGTCCACAGAATAGTAAGGTGGATTTAAATCCAGCTCCAGGCTTGTACGATTAAGTGAGATGCCTACTTGTCACAGGCTGTTCTCAGATTGGGCAAGAAGCTTTAGAGTAGGCAATACAATCTTAAAATCCCATTCCAAGCAAAATACATATGTGTATACATATTATGTGTGCATACATACATATTCTTTCCTCACAACAGTGACCAGGTACAAAACCCTCTAAATCCTAGTATTAAAAGCAAAGGAATTATTTACTTCCCTTCCTTTAGTTCCATCTTTCTTCTCTCCTACTTGCTCCAGTTAGTTTTCCCGACATGAAGAGTCCTGCAGACCCTACAGCTTGTTTTGAGACTCTTACCAATGCAAAGCGGAAGATAACCCTTGTTTTATCAAAAGTCAGATTCAAGAAGGCAGACGAGTTGTCACATCTACCAGAAGAGGTTGTATTATGTGGTATAAAATTCAGCACATCCAAGCCCATCTATGAGAGAAGAGGATCAGTTATGACATTCGAAGAGACTAACACATCACCTTACGTTCAGCTGAATTCTGGCTTGCTTATGCTCACATGCACACTCTACATGTAACAGATGACTGGCCAGATACATTAGCCCATAAATAGCACATGTAAGTTGCACTTGCATTACCAGGCTGGCACAGAGAACACAGGTCATCTTTGCATGCCTAACAAAGCTTTCTGCAGCCAATAACCTGCTGATTTCTCCACACTAAACTTCTTTGGTTCCAGCAGCGTAAAGTAAACACATCATTAACCATTACACAGGGAGCAATAAGCTATGAAATATTGCTTGGACATAATGAAGGGAACCATGTGTAAGCACAATCATCTTGCTAGTAACTTCATGTCAAAATGCTTTAGTTTTGCCCATGGGACATGATCTTATACTGTCCTGTATCTGCAGAAGTCTGTGGGTTAAATACAATTCCCGATCAATCAACTGGAAACCTTTCAGTAGCTCTTAGTTGATCCTCATCTGACTTGGGAAAACCTGTTTGCCAGCTCCTTACCGGTCATGACACTAACATCAGCTGTTCCAGTAGAGCTAGAATGTCATGCCATAACATGGCTAGGGAATTTCATGCAACTAAGGTGGCTAAAACACAGCTGCCATCGTAACCAGCTACTGTACAGCCACATGCCAGCTATCAGCGCTCCTGGTATTACACCTCTCAGTCACGATCATCATAAATGCAATGGATTCCTTTGCATCACCACAAAAGCATCAAACAGCTAAATCCTATACAGATACCACCTCCCCACACCAGGTCCTTCATCACTGAGATCAATCTTCATTATGGTTGCTTTTGTATAGTTTGTTTGCCTACACTTGCCCTCGTTACATCCACAGGATAGGAAAAAGCAGCTTGTGATCAAAGGTCCCTCACAACAAAGCTTTACTGAACATCAAGGTTTGCTGACCCCTGGTCATTGTTTCCTATTGAGGACCTGACCTTCAGCAGTCCATTTAGGATTACTCCTCAACTGCTTTGCCTTACCAGCTAGTGTGTACCAGGTTTGTCTGCGGGGCTGGCAAGCTGGGCTTTGCATCAACTATGGAGGGAAAGAACCTGTACCAGGGTGGACTTTACATAAACCATGAAACATTTTTGCTGTTGAAATCAGCCCTGCAGTAGCTCATAAGCGTTAATGTCAAACCCAAGCCTCCTTGGTGCTGGCTGGAGGTTAACCAAGTCACGAACCTGTCCAGTTTTATAGTAGTAACAACCTTTCCTTCTAATAGTCACTCACTGCTTTCATTCAGGTGCCTCAGGCCAAATTCCTGGATTTTAACAGTTTAAAAAACCTTTTTTACATGGCATCTTTGACAATAGGATTCCCCCTACTCATACCTTGATAATTTTTGACTGCTTCTGTGGAACAGCCATGTACATGTACTGGATTTGACAGACAAGTCTAATTCTCTAACTGGACAGAAAAATTATCACTTACAGTAGAAGAGAACCTTTTGAATTGTCACTAGTCTAGTCAAAGTTAAGCAATTAACTTAATAATTGCTTAACAAATGGAGTACTATCATGGATGAATACTACAAAGAACTGTGATTTTAAAAGGAAAAGGTTAGCCTATAATAAATAAAGTCTATAATAAATAAAGTCTTCAAATCTGAAGGCTTTGAAGAGAGAAAAAAAATATATACCTTTTCATCTTTTTTTAGATAGGTGATATTAAGCTGTAACCCCATGTAGGCAAGTACACAGGTTCCATTTGGACCAGTCACATTGTATTTACCAACTGCAGGATTTGAGGGTGATACAGTTGGCACTGGACTAGTTGTTGTTGGAACCTGGCTAGTAGTCTGTTTAGGAGTTGTAGGCACTACAGCAGTAGTAGAGACCATATCTTCAGCACATTCTGTCTCTGGAGAGAAAGGAAAACAGTCATTACAAAAAAAAAAATAAGAAATGAAGCTCTGGGATGCTCTACCTTTTTAATCCTCAAGGGAAAGGAAGACACAATTTCAAATAGCTTATCCTAACAGAAGATAATAAAAGCTGAAAAACATGATTGTAAAGCATTATTTGAATGCTCATTACAAAGTTTGAGACACTTTTGAAGCCTGGCATGTGAAAATGACACATCTGCTGTTATTTACAGAAGTTCACAGTGATTGCATCTGCTTTCATTGATGTCTGTCATTTCACTTTGCCATTAAGTCAGGATAAGTAAGATACTGCTATGCTGACAGAACCAGCGTTCCTGCTGTATGTTCACAGCAAGGCTAGGATGAATACCCCTCTGACACTCTGGGCATTTGCATGCTGGAAGCAGAAGAAAAGTTCTCCAGCCCACTGTTCAAAGTGGTCTCCCAGGACATACATTATTCTCCTTCCCCTCCCTCCATTACATTATCAGGTTGTGAGGACCCTACATCATTATTCTGGCAATATCCACTGTAACATTAAAATGCTACTGGACCTCTCAAGACCTTATAGCAGCGCTGCAGCTCTTCTATCCCTAACAAAGGGATTCCAAGACTGCTTCAGATGTTCTGCTATACCCTTTCAAGTCAATCCCCCCTTTTGTCCTGCATTAGCAGTTAGGGGGTACAAGGCTGAGTGAAGACGTGCAAGACAGCCTTCTCTTTTCATCCAGTTCAGCAGCAACTTCCAAGGCAAAAGAAGAGAGAAGGAACAGTGACTTGGATTTATTTGCCAGACTACTCAGAAACACCTGGCAGCAAGATCTTAACTTGATCTGGGAGCCAAGGCGGCTCCTGCATTGAACATCTAAGCCAAAATCAAAGGTCAGAGCAAAGACGTTACTATACACCTTAGCCAAAACCAAAGGTCAGAGCAAAGAGGCTTCCATGTTCTAAGTGAAGGTCATCTCCACATGTCAGGGGTAACGGCTTGCAACTTTGTAAGGACAACAAACTGCAGCAGCAGTCAATTCTGACTCAAAAGGCCTACTTCTCAAATTTAATCCTTGCAGATACCAGATGTCTAAGAAACAGCCTCTACACTTGAACATCAACTGAACTGTAAATTATGGCTCAGAACAAGGAGCTCTAATCACACCCTCTAAAGTCACAGAGACTTCAACACAGCACACTTTCCTATTCCTACTCCACTTACGGAAAGTCAGAGCAGAGGGAAGGTGGATGAATGGATGAGTGACCCTATCTTCTGTAGGCTGATACTGGTCAGGTCCCAAAAGGTGATCATTTCTTCACAAATAAACCCAACAGCAGCATTACTTTCTATCTCAATGGAGAATTTCCCTCCATCTGCAAGATCTCGCCATGTACAGCCTCTTACTCAAGCTGGCAGGAACAGAAGCAACCAAACCAATTCAAGTGGAAGTTTGTCCTAGACAGAGTCTTGACACAGTATTTTTACTGAACTGATAGCTCATAGTAACTCTGCAAGACAAATCTGAAGGGACAAATTCTCCTTTTCTTCAGAGCTGCAGATAATCATTACCATAACCTCAGCCACTAACTTCTAGGTACACTGACAGAAGTTACCACTTCTAGTGATACAGATACACCAAATACTGATTCTTTATCCCTTCCCTTCCTTTCTGCCCAAATCACCAGCAGAAATATCCTATAATGAAAGGTTTGCATTTATATTAATCTAAAACAGAAGGAACAGAAAATAAAGCAAAATGCTGACAAACTTGTGTTGCATAAAAAACACCCTCCAGAAATAACACAATATTGATTTTATTTTTTTTTTGACCAAAGGACTATGTAAGAGCAGATAACAGGTGATCTCGAAAGGAAAACTATTACACAGTAGGAAGATTCTATTGAAGTTTTGTAGATACTAAAAGCAGCTTTTCCCAGTATCATGGCTTATGTTCAAGCCTGATAACTGATCACTTATATTTATCTGGTGTGATAACTGGATCAAGATATCAATTAAAAAATGAGCTACTTCAGAAGACTGGAGTAATAGAAATCAGATTTTTTTTTTAATGAAAAAAATATAGGCCCACATCTTTGCTGCAAACTACCTCACTGAACGGAAAAGATTGATCAAGTGAATGATACACAGTGAAATCTGAGCCAGCCACATGAGGCAGCCATGAAAGAAGTCAATGCCACAATTATCATGCATCAGGCAAGGTATTTTTCAGAGAGATGGGATATACTCCTCTAGAAGGCACCTCTTCAATGCATCCATCCCAAGTGAGCACTGACTACCCTAGTTTTTAAGACTCATTTCAATTTAACAGGTGCATAAGTGGGATTAACAGCACAAGAAAAGTTCTGCATTTCCCACAGAAGATAAAGGCTTTCTACTTGCCCCAAAACTAAGGCAAAGACTTATCACTCCTTAAGACAGCATGGGTGATCAGTTTACATGGCTCTTCACATTTGAAGACTGTCGCCACAAAAACAAAGGACATGGACATTCCATAAAGTAGCTTGTCTTCTAATCACTATAGCAGTGAAATTACAAAATGTTTTTCAACACAAGCAATCAGGACAAAAAGTCGCTCTGTGATCAAGTCAGAGAAAGAACATCACTGTTGCAGCTTACATAAAGCCTCCTGTAGGAAGGCATACAGATCTGTTCCCTATAAACCCGTTCTCTATTGTCTGCCATTATACCATTCATTTTCCCCAGAGCACACAGTAAGTAGTTCAAATTACTTTGGTGGAGGCATAATACTTGCAAGTTACCAGATACTTCTTAAACAAGGATTTTGGCCATATGCCCAGCTGACCTACTGCAGCACGTGTTTACACCCATAAATACTCATGAACAGAAGGAATGTTCCACGATACCTGTATAAACCCCATGGGAACACAGTGCACTATCTTCCAGTCATGGATGCTGACAACCCTACAGATAAAACCTGAAGCAGGTCCACTCACTTCAAGAGATGCTGCTATCAGAGCTTCAGATCCAGTTTGTACCTGCCTAAATATGATGAGTAAGGACTTAAAAAGAAATAATCTATTATTGGAAATATTAGCTCATCAAGTACATTTTCTGCTACGAGATACCTACTGTTCATACTGAAAGTGCCATTTGTGAGATAGGCTTCCAAAGTAACATTGCTAAAAGTAACATTCACATTCTTCATATTGACTTGCTTGGAGCTGATGCATCTGTATTTTGTGCCCATATATGCCTGAATAACAGTTTTATGTGATGCTCTCTTCACTCCTGTAAAAAGATTACACTGCATTAGTATGTAACAGTATTTACAGAGACAAATCAGTATTACATCTGGAAGGGTTACACAATGAGAACAGGAAGTTTTCATTTTACCTGCAGTTGAGTTATGGAATAAGGTTGCATCTGACAGATTGTACTGGAAAACTAGCTCTTCAACTTGGTACTCATCTGCATGTTCTGAGAAGTTCAGGCTTAATGAATGTCCTGCTCCAAAATCCAACACCAGTAGTGGATGAGATGTGTTACCTTTACCACATGAGCTCTGTGGGCTTACTGTAGCATTTTGTGGAAGAAAAAAGTGTGCAAACTGTGGGGTACAAAACAAAACACATGTAAATGAGCTTTACCTTACTGCTTTTTAAATATCCCATGAAACTGTTACAAAACGTGCTATGTCTACTTATATACCAGTATATAGCAAATAGAATGTTACTAGCACTCAGGTTTCCAAGAATATTGCTCTCTGAAATTTGAGGGCAAAACAATACACACAGCATTTTTAGTCTTCCCCCCCAGCCCCCACTAAACTAGCGCTATAAATTTGCATGTACTTCTGTACAAGGTTAATCAAATCTGGCAAACTCTAGATGGCTGAAAAACAGGAAGAGAATTTAAGCTTTGCTTCTTGTAGTACAATTGAGTAAGAACAAAAGCAAGTGGTGCAGCCTACATAGTTTGGCTATAATACTTTGAGTTTATTACATATTGAGAAGTAACAAGGTACCTGAAGATCAATACAGTGTTTGCTGGAAAGTTTTGAGCTTATTGCTTACAAGAAGAAACAGCCAAAAGCATGTTAGGAAAGCAGTCACCTCTGAATGCAAACTTTTATACTAGTATCAGGGCGATTGCAGACAATCTGCACCACTGAAGAAGTGAACTATGCAATATAACTCTCACCTCAAAACACAAATAGCAAGTGCACCACTGGCAAAGTAATAGGATTTTTTATTTCTTAATTTCACATCATACTGATTGCTAGAGGAGAAAGAAAAAAACACCTCAACAAGAGGGCCTCAAAACATGCAGTTGCAATGAGATTATAAAGAATTGAATGTAATTCCTGTTCAGTAGTACAGATACCAAGAAAGTAAACTGAAAAGCAGAATACTTGTAAATAAAAATTCTTAACTTTCCAATAACAGGCTTTTGCTGTTAATATGGAACAACTTGTAAGCACTGCACTGGTCTGTAGATACACTGCAATCTAGAGATCTGCTAAGCGAGAAGATCAGAGATTTCAGGCAAGTTTAAAAGTTACATGCCAACAGCCATTTCAGCTCAGGTTTAGTCCATGTAAGTATGACCAAGTTCACAAAAGTCAACTGATCTTTACAGTTCCAGTGAAAGCCATTTTAGCTACCATTTAGTGATATTTCAGTCACAAAATTAATTTCACATATGTATTTTTTGTGGTGGTTTCAGGCAGCCTTAACCCTGTTTAATTAGAAGCAGCATCAATAGTAAGTCGTTGCAACATGACTGGAAGGGATCAAATCTTTGTTGAAGTGGTTTTTAGTGCTTAGATATTTGTTCAAAGTTTAAGTACTGTGCACTTGCAGAAATACCATGCATTTTATAAACACAAATTAGAGACAAACTGCGAAATGCTACCCTTACCTCTTTTTGCCCATTGCTTTTGTACTCCACTGAGAAAGCTACTGTCATATCAGCGATGATGCAGACCTTGCCACTTGGATCTCTCACCTCAAATGAAGAGGAAGCCTGTAAAAAGCCTGTTAAGAATGACAAGTGGTTAGTTTTGCATCATATAATTTTATCTTTTTTTGATCCCAAAGAGAAATACGTACACGTCTACATTTGGGAGTACACCCTAAACAGCAGTTGTGTTTGGAAATTTGGGTATTAATGGTCTCTGTACTACCTTCAACATCACTAATGCACAGAGGGCAAATTTAAAACAGCACATATAAAAAGACAAAGTCACCCAAACCAGAACTGTTGACATGCCGGGTCCTCAGAGGGCAAGAAAAACTTGCAACAAAAACTAGTCATAGTGTTCAAGGCAGCTGATCAGTGTTCACCCTACACAGCAACTATTTTGCAAGCTTCAGCCAGAACTGACTTAGCATATATGATCTTGCATGCCTACGGCACTCAGCCTTCCCCCCACAACACACCACGCAGCCTTCATTCCCGCTGTACCAGGACACTCAGCTGTACATGCCCTGAATGCAGCATTAAGAAAGCTTGGATTGACTGCAGATGTTTTGGAGGGACTGCCAAAACCAGCACGATGGAGCATGCCACCATCGCGAGGAGAACTTCTCTTTACTGTCATCACGCTCTCTGCACTTGACAGGAGGATGGGGGCCAAGACCTTGACATAGGCAGAGGTTATGTGTTCATGACTGGTTTAAGCTGACCTCAGACTGAGCTGCTGACAAAAACACAGCTCTTCCCCCCCACTCACTCCCCTCCAGCCCACCAGTACAACTGACCACACTAGTACTGACTTAACAGGGTAAGAACATACAGCAAGAGGAGCACAGAATTATCCTTTCTGACAGCAGACCAGCATCCACTGCCAGTGGAGCTTGACTAAGGGAATGTGTTGCAGCAGGCTGGATACAGCCGAAAAGCAGGTTCTCTCTTACTTCATTTGCAGTAAGGGCTATCTGGACAGCGCTCCTGTATCTGAAATCATACCAAGGTCTTCCAAGTTCTTTTTTATTTTTCTGGTTCTCAACTCGTCACCACACACACAGCCAAAGCACACCTCACTGCAGAAGGCCTGCCTGATTTTCATGCTACCACTTTATCAGCCTGCATTTCCAACAACTCCAGTCTTGCAGAAAACCTGATAAAAAACAAAAGCAGTTGCAAAACATAAAGCTTTCTATCTCCAGCAACTAAGCTCTAGAGTCAAACATGCTAATCCATTCAACTGCTGATACAGCAAAAAGGTCCAGACAAGGGATTATCCATTAGCCAGCTTCCCCCCCAAGAAGTTTTAAAAAAGCAAATCCCAATTTTAAAACTTTTCACTCCAAAACTATGGTGCATACAATTGTATTAAGACAGTTACCAGGAAAAATTTTACTCTTGTCAGCTGGACTTCGATAGAAGGCCCTTCAGTTGTGGGAACACAGTGGAAACAATTTCTTTGGCACTCAGCAAGCATTTTCCCTTGTTTCTTTCCCCTTAGCAACAATATATCCTCCCCCAGCACCAAAAGGGAGGCAGACCTTAAGCAGGAATTCATACACTTTACCCAGTTGTTTGAAGAGTCTAGACTTGAAACCAGAGATTGACAGAAGAGAGAAATTTCTTGAGAATGGATAGTGTAGACAGCTGGTGTTTCAAACCAAAACTGTACTAGCTTCGCCCTTCTGTCCAGTTCAGTGTTCATTAAGAACATATATTCACAAAGACGTTACCTATTGCAGTTCAGAGCAGTACTAGCAACAGTCAATGCTCTTCCGCATGGAAGTTTCAATTTGCAAAGTTTCCTTTGATTTGAATTTACATCTGGAACTTGTTTACATTTCACCCAAGCATTTGTTTGCCCAAAAGCAATCTGCTTACGCTTTCCTGAAGATTTCTAGCACAGTACAGAAAACAACACAGAGGCAGGCAGTAAAGTCCATGGCTACTTGAACTAACACTACCAATGGAAAGCGTGCTAGAATGACAGCATTCAGTGTGCAAACTGACTGCCTTGTTTGACAGCTTTTAAAAGTCTAAGCAATTTTAAAGCTAAAAATAAACAAGTAATAGGCAGCAAAAGAAAAAAAAAACCCACACCAAAACAGTTTTAAAAATAAATGCAGAAGAAAGAAAAGACTGAAAAACATTTAAGAGAAATGTTGTTGACCTAAAGGAAACTGTGACAGACCTGGCCAGTACAGATAATTCAGAGAACAACAGAAGACAGTGCAGAGATATCAGAAAGCATTAAATGGAAGAGAGATTCTAGGAATGAAGAAATTACAAATCAGTTTAAGTAATAGAGAATAAGGGGTGTGAAGAAACAGTAGGAAATACCACCTGCTAAATCGTAGTAGGAAATAACTGTAGTTATTTCTAGTAGTGCTAAATAACAGTAGGAAATAACTGCTAAATTTTCACCAGGTTAAGTTCATACCATGCTGTGAATCCCGATTTCGTTAGTGTGGAACGACCACTATAAAACCCCATTTCTCCTTAAGAAGTGTTCAGCAGCTGCTGGATTTGCAGTATCAGTGATGAGACAGACGCATCCAGCATGAGACAAGAGGGCTGCTTCACTCTGTGTAAGCCGACATGCACAGGGATGGCAATCAGAGCGACAACTGTGCTGCAGCATCATCTGCTCCCGTGGTCTTGGAGGAATGCACATGAAAGAATGAAACACAAGGGACGGAGGAACACAGAAAAATCAAAAAACCACAAAACAACAAATCAAGACACTGGAGGAAGGAAGGTCCTGCCTACTCTTCATCCCAGCCAGTTTAGGGCAGAGGAACAGCTCACTGGGCTTTGCAGGAAAGCAGCTGTTGAGTTTGCGCAGGCAGTTTAAGTGTGGACTAGTGATTAATGCATGAATCATCACCATCCCACAAATAGCAAGAGCCTACAGTCAAAATGTCAGGAATACAGAAAGCAAACTGATCTTGAATCAATCTGTCCTGGGAATATTGCTAATTAAGTTACATAAACTATTGCTCAATTTTAGCTTTGCATATCTACAACTTGACAATATTGCTTGTACTTCTCATAACAATATAATTCTTTGCAATTCAACACAAAAGCTGGTACAACCTCCAGTTTCTTAACTTCACACTTTAAATGCTCCTCTTAATAAACTGCAGCACCCTATATGACAACAATCTGTGTTAGAGCAAGGGCAGTACTACAGTGGCAGTGTGCACCCACAGTCCAGAAAACCAACCATATCTTGGAGCATGAACAGCAGGTTAAAGGAGCTGATTCTGCTCCACTACTCTGCTCTTGCAAGACCCCACTTGGAGTACTGTGTGCAGTTGTGCATTCCCAGCGTAAGAAGGACATGGAGCTATTGGAGTAAATCCAGAGGAAGGCCACAAAAATGATAAGGGGGCTGGAGCACCTCCTGTACAGACAGGCTGAGAAAATTTGGGCTGTTCAGCCTGGAGAAGAGAAGGCTGCGTGGAGACCTCATAGCAGCCTTCCAATATCTTCCAGGGGGCCTACAAGGATGCCAGAAAGAGACTCTTCATCAGGGACTGAGTGATAGGACAACAGCTAGTAGACTCAAGCTTAAACAAGGAAGATATAGGTTAGATATAAGGAAGAAATTCTTTACTGTGAGGGTGGCGAGGCCCTGGAACAGGCTGCCCAAGGAAGTGGTGAATGCTCCATCCCTGGCAGTGTTCAAGGCCAGGCTGGACGGGGCTTTGATCAACCTGGTCTAGTGGAAGGTGTCCCTGCCCGTGACAGGGGGGTTGGAACTAGATGAGCTTTAAGGTCCCTTCCAACCCAAACCGTTCTGTGATTCTCACAGCTGAAGAGCTCCTAGACTTTTCAATAGCAAAAAAGTAAGTTTTGTGAAGTTTATCATTCTTTTGGCTGGAAACACTGTGTTATGGATATCTAGTAGATATCTAGATATCTAACTAGCAGAAATGCACCAGCATCAGAAATTTCACTTAGTTCAGATGCTTCCTTTGTATTTCAGTAGGTCCTGGAAAAGGGCTGCTACATACTTATTCTAGCTGCATATTTTCAATTGAAAAATCATAGGATAATTTCTCCCTTTATAACTTTCTAAAGTTAGAGTCTCATGCAAGAAAAGATCGAAGGTACAACTGTTGAAGCAACAGCTAGTTATGCCACTTGAATTAAATCCAGCATCCTCCCTACATAAAAAAAACCCAAACAGAGCATATTGACACTGATATATAGTAAACAAGTCAAAACAAAGACTTCCTTGGTATATAACAATTTATCATAAATCTCCTCAGAAAAAGTTGCTTCTTTTAAACTACAATGCTAAGAAAACAATCTAGCACGTTTTGAACAATCTAAATCAAAGCCCTTTGAATATGGCTCTTAAAATGTCTGGATTCCCCATCTCTTGACCACACAAAGACGCTTTCAGGTTTCAACTTTATTATAATTGAAATCTTGTTAGCCAAACACAGCTACCCTTGAGTTGTTCTCCCATTTAACTGAAACCTACTGAGGATGAAAGACGAATGGTGGCGTGCTCTAAAAACCCCGAGCATATACCAATGGCAATTGTTTGCACTGTCTGCTTGCAAAGAGTACTTCAGCTACTACAGTTAATGATTTACTTTGTCTCAGTTTTTTTTAGAAACATGGAACATTGACAATAAGGACCTCATACACAAAATATACTTTTTTATAATTTGAGGTTTGTTACTATAGTTATGTTTCTTGCAGAAGTAAAAAACTCTTTAGTATTGTTCTTCCTCTCTCAGAAGAAAGGACAACAAGCCACCCAAATCCACCTGGGCACGTTTTCCACACCATCAGTAGTTTGAGGAATACAGATATCTAGTGGATGGGGCTGTTTGCAGTTACATCAAGTGACTGGCATTAGGAGGAAAACCATGGGTTCAGCACAGCCCAGATAACCTAATCGCTCCCATACGTGCTGCGACAGTGGTTCAGAGCACCACACCTACAGCCTGATCATACACATCAAAGACGCTGCTCAGCTATAGCCTACCCTGTAATTACTGTGCAGCAGTACTCTGCAGGTAAAGGATGCTGCTGACTGACGCCAGCACTACACAATCATTCTGTACCTAAGCTACAGTCACTACTGTGTTGTCTGGCACCTTTGCCCAGAGGTTCTTAGGATATATGCAGTGAACACTGCTATCTGTGGGGCACTAATCCAAGGAGATAAGAAATGCTGGTTCTTATCTAAAAAGACCATTTATTTTCTGTTGTACAGAAGTGGTCAGTAATTTACTCATTCAGATGGTTTGAAAGGATCCTGTCATCTCAGTGCCATTTTGTGAACAAAGTGGTGACCTTAGTTACCACTTCAGACTCCTAAATCTATGCCAGAGAGGAGAATGGAAAAAATCCCTGAGGAGTTATGCTCTCCTCTGACAACTTGTCTTCTAATGTAAGCACCACTCCCAGAGGGACACTTAGTACAAGTCCTTTCTCAGAAGACCAAGTCACAATGACTTGCTTACAATCCAGGATCTATACTACCTTGGGATAGTACAGAAAGAAAAAGAACTTTAATAAAAATAGATTTTTGAAAGATCATTCTATTTACTAACACTAACATTTGTGGGGAACAACTGAAAGCAGGAAAATCCCTTGATAGACTTCATGTATGAACAACTCTGTGTGAGATGAGATAATCTTCCTAAAACTGAGTTACACTCACCTGTCACTAACAGACTCTGAAGACTGAATGCAGGCTATCTGGAAAGCCTAGTAAGAAAACACAAGGCTGGACCCACTTCAACTGCTGTCGGACACACTTGAACACAAAAGCAGTGGTGGAAAGGGCAAACAGAGCTTAATTCAAGGATGGATGAGAGTACATTAGGAAAAAAAGAGAACCAGCTGCATGTGTGCAGGTGCAGCACCTGATTATATCAAGTTCCTGATCCAGCCCTGGAAGATCCACCCTTGCCAACTACCAGAGACAAATTCATGCAGTCTCAGATTATGCTTTTGATATTGTTGATTTCCATTAGGACAGCAAACATTTTGTTTCTCAACTTAAGTTTGCAGTCTGAATAACCTCTTTCTTTATAAACAAATTTATGAAAGTACAAAAGCATTAAAAATGAAAGGTTATTTAGCAGCTGTACACTTGCCATTTAGCCAGAGAATTGCACAATTGCATCAAGTTTAGTCACATGAGGCTTTTTCTACAGTTTCCTATCTAGAGGAAGGAAGTCTTGGGATGGTTCCACAGCAGCTGATTACATGAGTGCACTGGAAGGTCTGAACTCCTGTAGCTAGACCCTTTTCAGCATTCACACAAGTCCATTTTGCCCTTGCTCTGGTTAGTGCTGCTGTATCACACCACAAAACTAACACATGTCCTTCAAGATAGCTGGCAGCCTCAAACAACATTTGGAGGAAGGAACGCTGTGTTAATTTAAAGAGAAGGCCCCACCAGAGGTAAGAATATTGGAAAAAAGATAAGCCAATTGCCTGAGTAAAAACACTCTCCTAGTCCTATTGAGAAGAGAGTAGATCTCACCCCTGTCAAGGGAAGTAAAGACATAATGGTGTTCCCATATTACATAGACTGAATTCTGCCTTGTTAAGGAATCAGAAGCCACTGAAGTTACAGATACAAGAAAACCAAATACAAGATACAAGAAAACTACATGTATTTAGTGTGCACTACTGTGCTCAAGCCTGAACACTGGAGAGGGAACAGCTAGGGAAGTGCCCACTGTGCAGAGCTGAACCACATTTGGAACTCTGTACTCTACTGCCAGGGTGTTGCTAACACTCTTACACGTTGAATTACAGTAGAAAAAGTAATACTGACAAGAGTCAGTGGTGCTGTCAAGTGACGAAAAGGTTAAGAAACTGTTACCCTGAGATTGAAAAGGACACCAGTCCATCTTATAGTCAGATGCACAAAAACCATGAAAGCCTGATTTACCAAAACATAAGGTAATTTTAAAACATATAATTTAGAATTAAGATAATGCAATGAAGCTTTCAAATAGCTGTTGTAACTATTGCCACCCATATACCCCAAAGGGTCTCCTGCCAAGCTGAAGAGAATAAATGCCAAGAAATCCATTAGGGCACCAAGCTTCCTCAAGGAATTTTCCAAAAGTCACATCTGACAGAAAAGACAAACTGCTGCAGGTAAGCTGCAACAAGCAAAGGTGAGGTGTGCCTTCTTAGGGCTAGAAATAAGTTACCTTTGAGACAGCTTAGCAGGGATAACAGCAGTTAATATCTCAACAAAGTATCCATCTTTTCTTTGAGTAAGGCTCCTCTGTACCTAGAAGCGATTCTTCATTTTATCGTCTGCCACTGATTAGAAAATATCCTGTTCACTACAGAACAATCTAGAAGCTGGTTTCACAAAACATGAAACTTCTCAGTCAACCTGAACAAGAACCTAGGGATCCTATCTCAAAAGCAGCAAGCGAGGGAGCCTGCAGAGTTTTTGCTCAGCAAGTAAGGAGTTACTTAAGTTGGAAAATCTGCTGAAGTTAAAGCTAAGTAACCTATCATGCAGGACAGCCTTGGACTAGCAAACAAATTCAGATCCTTAGAGACTGTGTCAACACTCTTAAAGAAGCTACCAAGCAAACACAATGTTAAGGGCAGCATGTGGTAAAACCATGTTTTGGAAGTCACACATAAAAGTCACTGTATTTTGTGAAAACTAATTTATACTCTGTCACAGTCCATGCAGCTAGCAATGCCAAAACCGAGTAAAACAGTACAACACCATATTACTCACTGGCTGGAATTTGTTATCCAAGTTTCTCTCAACTATCCCTACATTGGTAGCAAGGTTTGTAATTCCCCTTCAGACTAGAGCTGTGCAATAGAAACATGTGAATTATGCGTCAGTAACCCTGAAGTGGCATCACACTACCTTGTCAAGCTCATTTTTCCTTCCCCAAATCTCAGACTCTTCCATTAGTTACTCACTAATACTAAATCCATGTCTGACTCTAAACTTAGGTTTTCAGAAGTGTTTTCACTGTTGTGTTTCTGTTTCAGTAAGGCAAAAAACCTGCAGGTGCTCTAGGAATCAAAGAGCACGAGCAGCTCTGTTGGGCTTGGCACACAACCCAACTGACCCATTGTGCTCAACAACAGACAAGCACCATCTTCCTCCGCGTTTCAAAAAGCAGCAGCTAGATTTGATGGAGGGTACTTAATTCCCTGCAGTCCTCCTTCCCTGTATTACCTAAATCGTTTTTCATTCCAGAGGCACACTTGATATTAGTGAGGAAATTCATCATTAAACACTTCATGCTGACACATGAAATATGCAGCTTGGTGCTTGCTGCTCAGAGTGAATGGAAAACCGAAACAGTAAGTGAGGCGTGGTGAGGTATTCAGGAGGAATAAAAAATTTCTTTTGTCCCAAAGTCAAGGCATTGCCAAACAAGCTTTCACATGACCCACCCATGCTAATCCTTCAGCCTCCCGTGAGCATTACCTTATCCTCACTCAGATGACTAAAAGGTTACAGATGAGCTAAAAACTCAGCTCCTATCTTATCATTATCTCCTAATTCTTCTCCCCTCACTAAAGCCCAAGCCCTGGCACTCTGGCAGACAATGGCAGAGGTGATTCGTACTCCAAGAAGGGGCCTCTATTTGCACCACAAAGTTTATCCCTGAGACCGTAAGGTTATGTAGAAACATCCGGCTACTAGATACTGGTGCAAAGTCCCAGTTGCCAGTAAATAGTTTCTCTGTAGCAAAATAAACTAGTCTGCTGCTTCAGCTGCAGAAATTTAACATATTTAACATGCCAGAAAGTGACAAACCTAACACAATGAATTATGGTTGTAACCACTAATTAAGCAGGTGAAAAACTACCACAGTCCTAAAACATATTAGCTGTGCTACCACTTAAAAACTATGCAGGCTAATTAGAAGGCAAACAAAAACAACTCTTCATTTAAGCCATAACTATATTAAGCAAGCTAAACACAGAATTCTCACTGCAACACCAGTTCAATGCCATGTGAGCTGCCAATCCTAAAAATCCAGTGTGATAGCGTTGTAAGCCACCATGCTCACTAGACTGGCTCACAAGGGCTGGATATTTGAGCTGCTCAGTGCCCCTTGTGACTGACACCTTTCGGGCTCAGTGAAACTGAAGTACCATCAACAATGATAAAGATATTTACTACCAAAGAACAGCTGAAAGAGTCTCAAAGACTGTCAAATCTCCAAAATGACGGCAGATAACCATTCTCAACTGCTGCTTTACTTGGGCAGTATTTTTGCTGCCCGCTGAAGAAGTTTCCTTTGCTGCCAGAGCCACATTTCAGAAACTTGATAGTGTCGCGTGATGTGGCTTTCAAAGCAAGAAACCTGAAGCAACAGAGTTATCAGTAAACAGGCAAGACACACTTCCTCACCAGTCAGTCTTGCTGCACTAACTAACCTTCTCATCAAGGCACTAAAATCTCTCTATCCCAGTGACATTTCAGATTTCACTCATGGTATGGCAGGATGAAAGACATTAAGTAAAGGGAGCATTACATGCTTTATAGGAAAGGGCTACTTCCTAGCAATGACATCAGTAGTTCCTGCGTCTCCATGCCTCGTGGGAGGTAAAGGCGTGATTTCAGGATCTTCCCGGAGCTCTGTCCCTAGATCCAGTGCAGATGCTCCACGAGTGTTCCCGGGCACCACGCGGTTCT